CAAAGACATTTCTTTCTTTTCTGTGTATTCGTTCTCCATACGTTGTAAATATTTAATGTCTTTCAAACCTCCCGCATTTCCTCAACGATGTGTATATACACGTAGTATTACACACAAATAGGTATAAATATTGCCGATATATTTATGTAGAACACAAATGGTTAATTAAGATATATCCTTCATTAATAATTAATTAGATATCTATTCCCCTTTCTCACTACTGTACGCATAGGCGTCGGAACCGGTGAGGGTGGGGGGCTTAGCCTCCCTACTTATTTGCAAATTATATACATATTGTAGGCATTGGAATTTGCCTTTTCTGTTGGCTTAGCCCCCCCCCCTTTTCAATCAGCCCCCTTTCATTTTGCTTCCGACGCCTAGGGTACACACACTTGTGTTAATATTTTTTTCTTTCTGCATACGAGGTCATGTTGTACGATCGCTTTCAATAAGACCGCTTACTGTTAATTAAGGGATATAAACTAAGTTATAAGTTTAAGACATTGAAACTGCGACTGAAATTAAAGTAATTGTACTAATTAGAAAGAATTGGGGTATACTCCTGTATTTGTTAAGGGGACAGCTATTTTATTTTGAGGGTGAGGGACTGGCAGATTTTAAAATTAAATACTTGCAGATCAGTGATCTCCCCCTCCCACGAATCAGAGTTTTTTTTTTTACATTTTTTTTTTTGCATTTAGGATTTTCAATGAAGAGGAAAATAAAATAAATATTTTGTCCTTTATCTAATTGATCGGAAATAAATATTAATCTGTCCTTCACTGACATGAAAATGAAAAAAAATCTGACTTGGAAAAACTCGCCTGCCCCCCCCCCCCCCCTTCCCTCAGAAAAAATGGTGGACCCCTATCCCATTTTGAATCAATTAGGGGGATCTCTAGTCTCCTGTTTTTTGGTAATATTATTGAAAGATAAATGAACACAATGCACATGCAGGAAATCAGATCTTGAGGATCATTAGTACCCTCCACACAAAATAGTAAGAAAGTTAAGATTTTCACATCTTAAATTAATGGCCTTTTCAACACCTGTACAGTAAATATATGAAAAAGCCAAATTATTATTTATCTAGAAAATTTATTTAATAAACATTTCTTTTCAAATCCAATGACAGACTAGGAATGCTGGGCAGGTGCAAATTATTTCCAACACCTCATGTCATGTTCTTGTGGATAAAATGAATTCTGAAAATACGAGAAAATCAGGAAATACCATTATTGAAAGTAATTTGTGTTTAAAAAATGCAATTAAAAAAATGCATGGAAATATTTAACATAGAATTAACATACATGTGTAACGTGAAGCGGTCACCCATCCAAGAGTTAAACAGGGTCGCTGTTGCTTAACTTGCCTGAAATAGAGGGAGACTCTACTGCATCACTAGAAAAGCTAGCTCACTAGCGACGCAGTATAAGTTCCCTATATACTGTCCGCTACACATGTTTTCAATTCTTCTGTAAGTTTTATTAGCTCTACTGGTCAGAGACCAGAATAGCTTATGCGATAGTAATGCGTCCGTCCGTCTGTCTGTCTGTCCGTCTGTCTGTAAACAATCTTTCAAAATGCTACTCCTCCTACAGTTTTGGTCTGATTTCAATATAACTTGGCACACAAGTAGACTACACTAAGATACATAATTCTGTGTATCGGTTTTTGATTTCGATGAACGGTGTTGCCGTGGTTACTAAAAATAGAAATTTCTGTGAAATTCTTTCAAAATACTACTCCTTCTACATTTTTGGTCTGATTTCAATATAACTTAGCACACAAGTAGACAGCTCTAAGATACATAATTCTGTGTATCGGTTTTTGATTTCGATGAACGGTGTTGCCGTTGTTGCTAAAATTAGAAATTTCTGTAAAATTCTTTAAAAATGCTACTTCTCCTTTGGTCTGATTTCAATATTACTCGGCACACAAGTAGACTATACTAAGATAAATAATTCTGTATATCGGTTTTTGATTTCGATGAACGGTGTTGCCATTGTTACTAAAAATAGAAATTTCTATGAAATTCTTTAAAAATGCTACTTTTCCTACAGTTTTGGTCTGATTTCAATATAACTTGGCACACAAGTAGACTACACTAAGATACATAATTCTGTATATCAGTTTTTGATTTCGATGAATGGTGTTGCCGTTGTTACTAAAAATAGAAATTTCTGTGAAATTCTTTCAAAATGCTACTCCTCCTACAGTTTTGGTCTGATTTCAATATAACTTAGCACACAAGTAGACCACACTAAGATACATAATTCTGTATATCAGTTTTTGATTTCGATGAATGGTGTTGCCGTTGTTACTAAAAATAGAAATTTCTGTGAAATTCTTTCAAAATGCTACTCCTCCTACAGTTTTGGTCTGATTTCAATATAACTTAGCACACAAGTAGACCACACTAAGATACATAATTCTATATATCGGTTCTTGATTTCGATGAACTAAAAATAGAAATTTCTGTTAAAAACTCTCAAAATGCAACTCCTCCTGCAGTTTAAGTCTGATTATAATATAATGTGGCATGCAAGTAGACTATACTAAGAACATAAAGAGACTTAATCAAGGATCATTATTCTTTTTATTGCTGTGGTAAAGTTTTAATTCCCAACTGCTTAAGAACTTTTCCCTTCCATTGCTATAAGAACAAACCAGTGGAGCTTCAGTCTCGACAGAGACTTCTGGTTATCAAAACTTTGTATAATTTATAGCTTATATTGAGCATACCATTTTCCTTAAATGATGGATTAACTTGCTGCCTGAATGAATCCATTTGTCCAACATCAGGGAATAGCAGGGCCTACAACACAATATATATATGCAGTTATATGCTATGAGATTACTAAATATACATTGTAGGATAAAATGGCATTACATTTGACAAAACAAATTATGCTACATTGTATATTGTAGTGAATTTATGTTATTGATATAAATGAAAAAAAATGTGTTACAAAACTTCTCTTGGAAAGTGAAACCTCTGACATTTACAATAGTTATTGATAGAATATTTTCTATAAAAAATTCTAAGTTTCTCCTTTACCAAAATGAAAAAAAAAACAATATGTAAAGCACATGCAAACTTTGGAAATGTGAAATGCTTTAAAAGTATATATACCCTGTGGAGAAATGATGCATTTTTCATTTATTCACTCTTTAAGCCTGAAACTCTGGACAGCTACAATGATAAAAGTATATAAATATTTTTAATGTAAATGTAATCTAAACAATTTTTTTTTCATTGATTTAGAAATTGTAGAAAATTACAACCATAGATCTGAAGTGGGGCTTTTATGTTTTCAACACAATGTTACTGATATTTTTTTTAAAATTGTGTAGCATATTTGTATGTCAAAATACATCTTTGTTTGTTTAGGCCTAGTCACTAGTGAATCATTGACTGAAACAATGAAAACATCTCATTCAATTCAGTTTAAATTTGTGTTACTGATGATCTCCATTATTTCACATATTGTCTCAAAGAAAATGAGCTGATTGACAGGAATTCAGTGCATATTTAGTGCAATTTATTTTTAATAATTCTAAAAAGTATGCAACTTAGTATAGGGGGGGGGGGGTTGCTACACACAAGTCACTGCATAATTACAGTTTTTCACTGACTGTACCAATACATTTAAATGAACATGAACACACTCGGGGTTTTTTTACGTTAACAAAAGCATGTCTACATATTGTAGATCTACACATGTACCTACATATGCGTATACATACTTGGCCTGGAATTAAAGTGCAGTGATTGATCTACGGAGCTAGAGCTGGTGCAAATAGTCTCAGTTTTCTGCTATTTTCCGAAATAATGTCCTCATAGTCATATTCTTGTAAAATGGAGAAGCAATGCTTTGCCTCTTATTTCATCCCTATTTTCTTTAAAGATTGTGTGGTTATTGCATTTAAATCCACTTCAAATCTCATCTGATGTCGCCACGTTTTTAGATGTAAACAACACTCCGTATCACCGAGTGCAAGCGCTTGGCTGAAGCCGAATGCAGACAAACGACACATTAAAATGAGAATTATTTTAAAGACATGCTATTTTACATACGGGAAAATCACTAATTATTTTCTATTTAAACATGAAGATATTGTTGTTTATTACAAATTGTTGCCAATAGTTATTTTGAGCACCATTTCCTTATATGGATCAATCAGGGCGGAGCAACTGTCATGACGTCAGACCTCATTATGACTTCATTACCATATTTTTTTCATGTGTTGCCTTAACTGTACTGCGTTAAAAAATATGCTCATCCATTTGTGATTGTATATCTATCTATAAATGGTTTCCCATTGAGGTGATTTAAGCATGACCGCTATATCGTAGGTCAACATTCCAATATCCCTTCATTATTCAACCACTGGGATCTGAAGTATGGATATTCACCTCACCCACCACAACCCCCTTAAACGAGAGAAAAAAAGTAGAATCTGCTTGCATGGAACGACATATAGATGTGTTTGAATGGAAAAATTATTTATTTTTGAGATTTTATACACTGTTTTTTTTTATTATTATTATTAAATAAGGATGAATATCCATATTCCAGGTGCCCGTGGCTCAATTAGTTACACTGAAAACTGAGGAAAAGATAACACTGTTTTGCTTATGAAAACACCTTTGTTATAGCCTCTTTACATTATTAATTCCAAGATTGTAAATATTTTTCCCCAATATCTTTCTTGCATGTATGTTAAAAAGTTGTCCGGTCCTATACTACTTTGCTCTACAAGATGGCAGCCAAGGGGAATAACCCCGAGGCATAGATACGCCATCTAGTGTCTCAGTGTTAAGAATTGCCATGTTATAACATATTATGTGTTTGATTTTAACATGTTGTTGAATTCCATTGCAAGTTTTTATCATAAATATATTCATCGACAAGCCTCATTCCGACTTTGTTTTATTATTTGCAGCAATTGCAAATTTTGCATAAAGACCTTGTAATGTGGAAAGTTACCAAGCAAAGCCACTTACACTAATTTCCCCAACCTGATTACAAATACAGTAATCAACAGATGAGTGTTTATTCAATTATTAGACAAGATGTTACATATTTCGAAGCGTTGACAACAGTTCCACATAATTATGCAGAGCTTCGGTCCAATCACTGGCATCCGACATGCCTTTATTTACAAATATTTGATTTGCTAGTCCATCAAACTGCTCAGAACCACTTATACTACTAACTTTCACTTCATTCAGGGCCAAGGCAATATCTTCTTCATTTATTGGCTGCAAACAGTCTTGGCCCCCTGAAAGAAAACATATTAAAGCACTGTGGTGTTGGGTTTCTTTCAAACTATTAAATTCGAATCTACAGAAGTATTTGGTATTTCGAAAAATAACTACTACTACCTAATGAGTGTAAAATGTCTGGGCGGCCATTAGGACATTCTGCGACTTTGCTATGGGATATGAAATGTGTGTTCCACTCCTCTACTATCTGAGATAACTCTAGTTGTAACACTGGCATGAAACAATAGCGCAGACAGTGACTGAAATTAAAGTAAATTGCCATTTATAAACGAAGACTTTTTACACACAATATATAGCCCCTATTTTAAACTGTTGAATGGCGTTTTAGGTATGTTTTAAACAAATACGGTGAGATGTAAAGAAAAACAAACGTTTCATTGATGATACCACGATGGATAACTCCCATAAGTTCAAGATCTTTAAAGAATTGCATCCACCATTGACTTTTACGTCTCCTAAATAAACTCCACCAGGCCTCTATTCTCTGCGTATTGTGTAGAAAACCATACAAACACAAGTAAAATTAAAATAAAAAGCAACACAAAATGCCTTTTATTACATAATGATTTCTCACCTGGTTGAAAACAGAACGCGAAACTCTAAAACTGCCGAGTCCGGCAAAATCATCAGCAGCATCGTGTCGAAATAAACACTGAAGAGCGCCCATGGTTATATTTTCAGTTCCTGGGTCTGCTTGCAAAATTAGAGGACACCCTGGTGGATAAAATGCAGTATCGATGATAGTTTTGTAATAAAAAATTAAGGCAAGTAAAAAGCTTAAGTTGATGGTTGTGAGGGATAAATCTACCTTTCATATTTTGAACACATTCCACATAATTTGAGGCTACGATGGCTGGATCATTGTTTGAAGGACCCACTTGTAACCACAACAATTTTCTGGAATATCTGCATTTGATATTAATATCATCTATTATGAATTGATACCTTCTTTTACCGTTTTATATTTTTTATTCCAAAAAAAGCGGTAAATGAAAACATACACAAATAATGTTCTATCTATCCGGGCGCATAATGAAAAAGTAATCAATATTTTGTAGAAGATGGCGCTACATAGAATAATCTAGCTAATGCTGTGCTGTCTTATGCATCATTTTGCAGTTGGTTTCTGAACAGGACAAAATATATGTTGATGAAATGTTGGGGTACTATGTCTATCTGCACGGTAACATGCAATCCATATGAAGTCAACTAAGGACTCACCCATCAATGCACCCATGGATGGCAAATCCATATGGCTTTAATTTATCATATCTGAAATTTGAAGAAAAAAAATTCACTGACAAAGAACTCTTACAATATGATATTTCAGTCGAAAGTTTTTCTCAATAAATAGATAAAAGTGAATAGGCCTACCCATCGACATGCCAGATTTGATTGGGTCCGATTGAATGGTAAGTTCTTCTCAGGATTCGCCTCCTCCTTCTGATTTTAGTGCCTTCGGGATCCAATTCCCTTAGTAATTTCATGACAACATCCCTATAGAAAAAAAGTCTTTGGATCGTGAAAAAGGCAAGAATTACCTTCATAAAAATTGCTGTAGGGGACTTTGAAAATAACGATAAGAATATCAAACATCTTCTGACATAATTGCTGTTTATAATTTAAGATTTAAGGGAAAAAAATAGAAACTGATAACCAAATATATATGTCTATGCAGCATTGGAAAAAAAATGATTTAAAGGTGGGTAAAAACGAAATATTTTAGCAGTATGTTAATGATTTAGAAAGCAGTTCATTTTTAACTCTATCATAAGCATTTTATGATATTTTACGTCTTGGCATTTAAAATATCGAAATCGTGAAAAAAACAACAACAAAACGTCAAATATTTTGGACTGCTTTGCTAGTACCAATGGATGAATTCCATGTGGGATAATGTGCCGCAATTCTGCGTCCTTTTTAAACCTTATAAAACAAAAACTTTGTGTTGATACGTGACTACTCCTTTTCTCCTCCTTTCAGAGCAAAACTAGTATATTTTCGTCCATCAGTTTTTTTTTTGCTTTATGACATGATTATTTAATTGCCCTTCTGCATCCTTCACAGGATTTTATTATACTTATGTGAACGTTAGGACTCTTGTTTCTTGTTTATATATTTAAAGTATAAATATTAATTTTAAAAACGCTACATAAAAATGAAAATGTAATGAAAGTACGATGGATGGACAAAGTATAAAGTTTTAATTACCTTTGGACGACGTATCCTTTTTCTAAAAAAAAATAGATTCTAAAAAAGAAATGTGTTATGTCATTTTAAAATATGACTATTGTTTTTTTTTCTTTCCACTTGTATACGTAATCACAAGGTTGGTATTAACTTAGATACTTTTATTTTTATTTTCGAAAAGATGTTGGATTGTCTGTAATCGTTAAGCAGTTAATGTTTCATTCAAAACTTAGCATACTTTAATTTTACCTCTATAACTTGTTTGGTGACATTATGCGGCACACTTGATGTGTTCCGACGAGAAGGCACACCTAATCTTTTCAGTCGCTTACCTATAGCATTGACGCTGTTAAGTAAAATACACACTATTAAAAATAAACAAACAAAACCCAATCCGGTTTATAACCAAAATTTGTAATAATTTTTTTTTATTGATAAACAAAATATAAAGATTTAAAACATCTTACCTTATGTCTTTGTTTTTGAATTTCTGAAACAATTTTGATATTTCTTCATATGTAAAACCTTTGTTATTTAGCACCAGAAGGGCATCTGCATCTGGAAATGAAAAATGAAGCAAATTTACTCCAGTAAAACCGAGTGTGTGTGTGGGATCCCGGTCAGGATGTATTTTCATAATATTAAAAATATCAGTTTTTCTGGTTATGAATATAATACAGTTTCAAAGAATAGTATTGACAGCTCATAAACATGTATAATAATGTTAATTATCAACACCCACCACTCAAAATTCTAAAACCTTATTTTAGATAAGATTGCCCGGGTTATTCTTTGTACAGTAGGTCATAGGTCAAGTAAATTATACTGAGTATATGATTATGTGAACTCTGAATATATACATGTACTTATAGGAGTCGGAAGCAAATAGAAAGGGGTGGCTTAAGCACCAAAAACAAACGTTTGGGGTGTTAGGTCCAAATTTTTAAAATAAATGACGCCTATGATACATTTATGTTTATTTAATGCTATATATACATATATAAGCTTACCACTTTTGTAACATAGGTCCTCCATTTCTTTTTCTTTCTTCCTTGGTAATATCCATGGTCATATGTTCTTAATAAAATTTCGAGGCTGGGAAATTAAATGCTCGCTGTTTTACGATCTATTTGACCTCTTGCAAACGGCCCCTACTGTTTTCAAACGCTATAGATTTCTTTTTATGTACTACAAAGAATTTTAATGCGAGTAAAGTGTAAACTGCCACCGGTGAAAACGAAGTCAGATCACTCATTACTAGCAGTATGAGTGCCAAAGCTGATTTGAAATTTTGGTGTGCACGTTGTACACATTACGAAAGCTATAAGAAAGCAGACAACGTAACGTGTACAAAACGCTGTCACTTTACACTTTAGTCACTTAATTTAACTGTAGAGTGTCATGGCTGATACCGGCCATATTTCTAACGATGCCAGATCACACATTTCTAGCAGTATGAGTGCGAAAACTGAATTTAAATTTTGGTGTGAACGTTGTACACTTTACGAAAGCTATAAAAAAGCAGACAACGTAACGTGTACAAACGCTGTCACTTTACACTTTAGTCACTTAATTTAACTGTAGAGTGTCATGGCTGATATCGGCCATCGTAATATTCACACACTAAATTGCCATTATATTACTACAATATTTAGATTGGAGAAATAAGGTTTTCATATTGTGTACTATTCTACTTGGGATTATGGTAATACATAGTAAAGTTTTGTTAATCCTATTTTCTTTTACTGTTCAATACAATTCAGAAATCGAATATAATTTGTTCGAGTTGATCACAGTCACTAATAAAAGAAAATATTAAGTCGGTCGTTAAAGTATTCGTCCACAATGCCTTTCGTGATAAGAAGCTCATCTCTCTCGGAGTTTTTTTCATCATTTACATTGAATCATAAGTTGACTATATCTTTTTCCTCTTGGCAACCTGCACTGTATTTTTTTTTAAGGAGAAGCAGTATTCTCTATATTGCGAGCTTAAACAAGAAGCCCATGGGCCACATCGCTTACCTGAGTAACTTGGTGATGCAGTTCATTACAAGATTTGTTCTATACATTTCTATGTAAAATTTGGATTCCCTATTGTGGCCACGCCCTTCCCCCGGGGGTCATAATTTTAACAATTTAATATCTAAACTACCCAAGGATGCTTCCACATAAGTTTCAGCTTTCCTGGTCCAGTGGTTCTTGACAAGAAGATTTTTAAAGATTTGTTCTATAATTTCTATGTAAAACTTGGATTCCCTATTGTGGCCCTGCCCTACCCCGAGGGGTCATAATTTTTAAAATTTAATATCTACACTACCCAAGGATGTTTCCACATAAGTTTCAGCTTTCCAGGCCCAGTGGTTTTTGAGAAGAAGATTTTTTAGTGACCCTACCCTATTTTTGTCTTTTCTTGATTATCTCCCCTTGAAAGGGGACTTGGCCCTTCATTTGAACAATTTAAACTCCCCTTCACTCAAGGATATTTGTACCAAGTTTGGTTAAAATTGACCCATTGGTTCTTGAGAAGAAGTCGAAAATGTGAAAAGTTTACAGACGGACGGACGGAGAGACGGACGGACGACGGACAACGGGTGATCAGAAAAGCTCACTTGAGCTTTCAGCTCAGGTGAGCTAAAAATATTAGCTCGTCTTATTTTGTGTCACAAGTTGTTCTAAACAGCTGTCAGATTTAACTGCAATTGATATTCGTTTGGAGCAGGCGGGGCGACCCGTCACACTATCGCGATGAAGGAGTGAAATGCATGCACGAGAAAATATATGGGCTGTTTGTTTAGAGTGTTTCTTGGGTTATTGACAGCCACCTTGGTACAAATCTGCTCACTTACTCCCATTGTCTGATGCGTTAATTGATATGCCGACCAGTCGAGTTTTAAAACTCGTTCAGGTTTCTATGTCGCTTATATCTAATTATAAAGAATACCGGGAAAATTACAGAACAATGCTCATCTTTTTTGATAATTTTATTTTCCCGATTTTTTTTTGACTGCAGGGTTATAATTGGTAATAAGCACAGAGGGCGGTCTATTTGATGCGACCTTGCAATTGATAATATCCATAGCTGTAGCTAGCGAAGAATTCCAAAAGTGGTTACAGTGATTAAGTGCATCAGTCCCAGATCAAAGCAGAAGCTCCAATGCCGTTTAAATTGCTAGTGATTATTACCCTTGAAGAATTATTAACAGGAGGCTCATCGGCCACATCGTTTATCTGAGCACTTTGGCAAGGACAAAGCAGTATTGAAAAGTTTTAAATATGAAAGTGGTCCCGACATTTGATCTTCTATTGAGGCCTTGCCCTATCCCTACGGACATGATCTGAATTTGAATCTACACCACCTGAGGATGCTTCTAAATTATTATGACTAATCATATTCCTAGGACTTTTCAACATTTTCTTTCCTATATATTCCTATGTAAAACCTTGATTCCCCATTGCGACCCCCCAACCCCCCCCCCCCCCCCCCGGGGGTCATAAATGAACAAACTTGAATCTAAACTACGTGAGGAAAGTGTGACTGAAATTTCAACTTTTTTGGCCCAGTGGATTTTTAAAAGATACCACCTAATTTTCACTATTTCTTAATTATCTCCCCTCTAAAGTGGGCGTGCCACATCATTTGAACAAACTTGAGTCCCCTTTACCCAAGGATGCTTTTGTGGCAAGTTTAGTAAAAACTAGCCTAGGGAGCTTTCAGCTCAGGTGAGCTAATAATTTTACGTAAATTATAAAGCAATGAATTTTTTTTTCTCCGCTAAGCCACAAACATCAAAATTGTTTAAAATCTCGGAAAAAAAAACTGTGTTGTACCAAACATATTGACGTTCTTCTGCAATGAATATACATGCTTGTCAACCTGATTTATACATTATGCACCCAAAGTTCTGATCAGCTTTCGCTGCAAGTTCATTACTATTATTGCATCTGGTAAATGCAATGTGCTTTTCCCATTATATTACATAACGGCATTGGATTTCTTTCTCTGCACACACCCTAAAAAACTGCTTATAAACTTTAAACTCACCATAAACTTCTCGCAAATAGCGGAGGAAGGACTTAAATGCCGCTTCCTCCCTTACTCGCCTGTTTGTGCCTTCTTCGCTAAATTCCACATTCATCAGGTGTAAGAACTAGAGTCTGTGGGGGATGGCATAAAAAGGTACTTAATCCTTCCCTTTTTTGTTATCATCTGCAACATTGAAAATATATTTATTGGTATATCTGAAGTTCAACCTGTGATATATTTGTTTAAATGCACGTATATAAGATAGTCGAATAAAATAGAAATTTTAAGGCCAAAAAAAAATTAATAAATTGTTTCTCAGGCACCGCCGCATCGGTAAAATCAGAGCCGCATCAACTTTTTTTACCATTATATTTTTTCCGGAATTTTCGAATCTTATCGTTATAGGTTTTTTCTTTTATCCAAACAATAACAAACGCTTAAGTGACTCGGAATAAAATGAAAGTCTATGTCAATAAAAACGTGATTTTTCGCGGGATATATCGATCATGTGGCTGTTATCAGCTCTTTTGTGAGTGGAACGTCCATCATATTACCTTGGAGTATTATTGGGGGATATAGTGACAGTTGTTCAGTGGGAGAATTTTACGAAGACCTGAAACGTGGCAAGTTGGACTTGGAATTTTTCACTTTCCCAGAAAAGTTGTTAATCCCCTTGTACTGTAGAAGTCGGTCGCTCTAAAACAGGTTCATTTGATCGTGTTATGCATTCAGTGCGCTTATCAGAAGTAGTGTCTCTATTCGGACGTTACATAAGATTTACAGTAAGTATTGGTTCAGAAAATAAATTTTTGTTCTGAAGTTTAGAATGATCATGTACAGTACATACATTTATTAAAACAGTTTGCTCTAACTTTGTAGGCTAGAGTTAAAAGCCTTTTTAGAACATTGTACTACATCCAGGTCTTACTCCTTTTGCATTAAAAAGTGTGCTGATCCAAGTTGTTCCATCTGTACTAGGCCACGCTTGCCTTCTGAGGTTTTTGAGCAGTTACATCGATTTCCAGACCCAATACTGAATACCTGGTACCGTATTTAAAGTTTCAGCTTATGATATATGTGTATTTTCAAATAATTTTTATAGCAAATAAAGATCAGAATAGAGAGATATTTGAAATATGAATAGCATAATACATGAAATACAAGTTACAGATTTCAATTTTAAAAAGGATGCTTTTTTTAATAGGTGAAGATGGGCACTTCAAGTCATTTGATGAAATTTATGGTAGTGAAACTACGGAGGAGCCATCTCTTCAGCAAAGGGCTACAGCGAATCCAGGTCATGGAATACCATTTTCCCCAAGTGCACAAACAGCAAAAACAGTAAAGTGTGTGTTTATTTGTACTGAATGTGAAAAACCTCGTGTAGTATATGCTGCTAACAAATTGTCAGAGCAGGAAATGGCCACTATAGAGCGCATTAAGCAGTTAATTCAATATACGTGTGGGTCATCCCTGCAAGAACTCAAGACTGCCGATAACAGAACACCACAAGTGAATGCTTTATTAGACAAATGTTTCATTAGGGCCAACTTAACATGTGAAATGTCATTAGAAGTTCCATATTTCAGTTCAGGATGTTTCAAGGACTTGTGTTTTCACTGTGGTGAGGAAGATGAGCTGCAAATGAAGCAGGGGCATATCCCATGTGTCTTAATTGTTCCTCTACAAAAACTCTTCCTTTGAAAAGGAAACATGTTAATCTTAAAGAAACTGTTAAAACAAAGAAAAGAAGGAAATAAACTGTGCTTTTGTATTTGGTTAATGAATATGCTATTAAATACACAATAAAAAAGTAACACAACAAGCTATTTCTAAATTTGATGCCTTTATTTGAAATTTATTAAAAAAAAAAAAACCTGCCTGCCTCATCAAAATTTTAAAAATTTGGCCCGAGAAACAATTAATTAAATTTTTTTGGCCTAATTGCGGCTTCTTTTAATGTATAAACATGGTTTAGATTGTGCGAATATATCTCTCCTCTTTCTGTTGGTAAATGTAAACATGTAAACCATATATATATATATATATATATATATATATATATATATATATATATATATATATATATATACAACTCGTAAATGCCACAAAGATAAATGTTGTCTTATAATTTGGACACACAAACACACTTTTAAAGGAATTAATAAAATATTATCAAAAATTCACCTGATGAACACCAACTCTCCTTAACCCGTTAACAAACTGTTCTCTTCAGAGTCTGGGAGGTCAAGGACAGATATTAGTTGATGAAAAAATGGCCCTCCTTGGATGGCGCTCAGTCCTATAAAAACATGGATAGAAGGATAACTACTGACAGTCAGCATTAAAAAAACATTACCTTGGAACCCAATTAGAAAGGAAATTTAGTAGGGATGTCAAAATTGTCAATAGTTGATATTCGATAGGACTATTCGAATATATTCGAATATTCGATAAACCAAATACATTTTGCATTATTAATCATATATCTTCACTCTCCTGTCAAGCAGTATAGGTATAATGCCATTATTTTAGAATAAAAACTTGTGTAGAGTTCGGAAAATGCACAGCAATTATACAATTTTTAAAATATTATTGAATGCCAGATAGTATACATCCCAAATATAATGATTGATTTTTGAAAATTCAAAAGATTCTTTAATATGTTCCAGATTCATTGATCGTCTTACTAAAGTCTTCACTGATAACTCCTACAAATTTATACCAAGCAGAACAATTATCTAACGGTGAAATATTAAAAGCAATTACTTTTTGCTAATTATAATTTCCTGATAATGATTTTAATGATATTAACATAAACAAGAAGTCTGTGTGTTTACTGTAAAACTGGGTCCTTACAACAATACAAGCTGATTGTTAGTACTGGAAACTATTATACCACTAATTAAGTGAACAAATAGATAAATTACTCTAATAGATACACTCTTCACACCTTTAAGGTAATCCAAGAGGAGTGTTTTTTTTTTAATTTGGTACAAACTTGATTCAATTTCTAATAAAACTTGCCAGGTTTTTCTCTCTTTTTAATGCTTGTATACTTAAAAACGAATATTCGAATCACAAATTTATATTCGAATATCAACTCATCGAACGAATATTCGAATATTCGAATATTCGTTGACATCCCTAAAATTTACCTATAAAAAGCCCAGCAAAAAAAAAAATGCTGACGTGCCAGTGCCTCTTCACTTTTCATAAAGGTTCCGTCTTCTGCCAACATTATCTCTGTTAAGTCCTTCAAAAGAATTCCTTTCTTGGACCTCCAAGATCTTCCGCATTTTCTCCGAAGAAACTTATCTCCAGTGGGAACCGCAGGTTTGAGGCATTCTGTATCTCTTCAGTGGCATCCCTGAAGACGTTATGCCGGCTGATGAAGAGACTTGTGGTCTCTCCAACAGACTCCTCCGCCACATCGAAACATCCAAGGGCCTCCCTCTCAGAAAGTTGTTAACAAAATGGGCCCACAGCGCAACCGGTTCCTCTGTGTCGAGTCTAAAAATACAGATGACAGTCAGTGTTATTTAGCAAATCTTGAACATTTTAAGTACACTGAAAAAAGGAGGGTCGATATGTACCAATTTGTTTGTTTAAGAAAATTAGATCTAGTCTCTTGTTACGCGTTTTAACAAAATTGCCTAACCTAACAGTCTGTTGAACGATCTCCGAAGCTGTATCTGAATCTTCGTTGGGCCCCGCTCGTATTGGACTGTCTGCAATACCTTCTCCAGTTTCGATGTCATCTTTCTCGTGGTATTCCTTCCTGTACTATGAAACAATGTTCTCTTCAAATACCCAGTTTACTTTACATTGTACGAAATAAAGCATCATTCACGTTCTAGTTAATCTCTAAAATTATTCTGTGTAAATGAATTAAAATGAAGGCAATTGCTAGGAGCCATGTCTGGTGGTCAGGTATTGATGCCAGTATTGAGGAGTGCGCAAAGGAATGTAAAGGATGTATGGATCATCGCAATGTAGCACCCATCCATCCCTGGGAGTTTCCTGAAAAACCCTGGCAAAGAATTCATGTGGACTTTGCAGACCCATTCTTGGGAACTATGTTCCTGATTGTTGTAGATGCCCATACCAAGTGGTCTGAAGTGTTCAAGATGAACAAGACTTCAACACATACCATTGAAGTACTCAGAACTCTATTTGCTAGAAATGGTTTACCTGAACATTTAATCAGTGATAATGGACCACAGTTCATTGCAGGGGAGTTTCAGCGATTCATGAAATCAAATGGAATACGTCATTCAACGTCATCCCCTTATCACCCAAGGACAAATGCCCTGGCTGAGCGATTTGTGCAGACCTTCAAGAGCGCTATGAAATCTGCCAAATATGATGAGGGTTCAATTCAGAAGAAACTTTGCAATTTTCAGATTGCATATCGGAACACTCCACAGTCCACAACTGGAGAATCTCCAGCACAGAAGTTTTTGGGAAGAAATCTAACAACTAAGCTGGATAGTGCTAAGCCTGGCCAAGTTTGACACGTACCGTGGACCAAAGCCAGGAGAGGATGCGAAGTAAGATTACAACCAAACTTCGCAATTTCAATATTGGCGACCATGTCTTAGTGAGGGACTACAGGAAGGGAGATCAGAAATGGATACCCGGCATAATACATCGCATCACAGGACCAATTTCATATGAAGTTGAAGTATCCCCAGGAAATGTATGGCGGCGTCATGTTGACCAAATTCTTAGTTCAGTACAGCAGCCATTCGCGGAGGCACAGCTACAGCTACCGAACATAGACACTCATGTAGATATTGCGCCTGTCGAACAAAGAATAGAAACCAGTCCAACTACACCAAGTGACGGAACCGCAACCAAATACTTACTTAAAACACTTCCTACTGAACCAACAGTTGCTCAGGACCCCTTACCAGATTCGGGAAGCAAGTCGAATACGCCTGTACGCCGTTATCCAGTAAGAAACCGGAAACCTGTTGTGAAACTGAATTTGTGATTTTGGGGCATAATAATCTCCTAGTTTCATTTATGAAGGCAAATCTTTTATTTGTTTAATATTTGAATGCCTTATTTTGATGTTTAATCATACTCATAATTTTGCAAAATCTAGTCATTTGAATTCAGTCAGTGATAATATTTCATTTACAACTGATATAAAAACTCAGAGACCATGGAGATGTTTAATGATTTTCTATTTTGGATTGTAATAACAATTTACTTTTTAACTTGAATTTCAAAAATTTAGTGGGGAGGAATGTAGTATATCTTTCCGGATATGATGTAATTGTACGTATTGGTTTTGTATGTTATCGGTATTCTTCAATAAATGTTATTTCCGGTAATGGTTTGGTCATTGCTTAAAAACCTTGTGTAAATACACAACAGCAGATGCATTTTGAGGAAATTGAAGCAGATGCCTTTTGATGCTGGATGTCTTAAATCTCATGCAGAAGCGTTATATAGGTCAATTTTTGAAGCAGATGCCTTTTGATGCTGGATGTCTTAAATCTCATGCAGAAGCGTTATATAGGTCAATTTAAATATTAAAGATATATCTGTAACATTATGTAATATTTGACACACTTTTTATATGACATTTAATTCATTTTTAGCTCTACTGGTCAGAGAGCAGAAGAGCTTATGCGATAGTAATGCGTCCGTGGTCCGTCCGTCTGGCTGTCTGTCTGTAAACAATTTTTCAAAATGCTACTCCTCCTACAGTATTGGTCTCATTTCATCATAACTTGGCACACAAGTAGACTACGCTAAGAAACATAATTCTGTTTCTCGATTTTTGTTTCGATGAACAGTGTTGCCATGGTTTACTAAGTATAGAATATTTCTCTGAAATTCTTTCAAACCGCTATCCCTCCTACAGTTTTGGTCTGATTTTAATATTAGTTGGCACACTAGTAGACTACACTAAGATACATAATGAACGATGTTGCCGTGGTTACTAAAAATAGAAATTTCTGTGAAATTCTTTAAAAACGCAACTCCTACGCTTTTGGTTTGATTTCAATATTACTTGGCACATAAGTAGACTACACTAAGATACATTATTCTATTTATCGGTTTTTGATTTCGATGAACGATGTTGACGTGGTTACTAAAAACAGAAATTTCTGTGAAATTCTTTCAAACCGCTACTCCTCCTACAGTCAACAATTCTTGGCACACATGTATACTACACTAAGATACACAATTCTATTTATCGGTTTTTTATTTCGGTGAATGTTGTTACCGTGGTTACTAAAAATAGAAATTTCTGTGAAATTCTCTCAAAATGCTACTCCAAATACATTTTTTTTTCTGATTAAATTTTAATGTTGCATGCAAATAGATTAAAGAGACTTAATCAAGGTTCATTATTCTATTTATTTCTGTTTTAAAGTTCCAATCCCAACTGCTTAAGTACTTTTCTAGTTGCTATAAGTACAAACCAGTAGAGCTTCAGTCTCGACAGAGACTTCTGGTTAATATCTGAATTGATGTAAACAATGTAAAATGCTGAAGTTGGTCTGTCAAGTGGAAATTGATTTTTCTGAGACCTTGTTCAATTTTTGTAGTGTTCTATTGAAGCCAGTAACTTCCTCAACTGCAGCATGGAGGAAGGGAAGCAAAGAAATTCAGGGTCTGACCGACTGTCTTCACTCTTATAGCAAGTACCTAGAAACAAAGAATGAAGAAATGCAGAAAAAACCAGAAGTCTCTGTCGAGACTGTAGCTCTACTGGTTTGTACTTGTAACAAAGGATGAGAAAAGAAACCACTGCTATCAGACAAAAACTGTAGAAGGAGTAGCCATTTAAAGGAATTACACAGAAAAATTCTATTTTAAGAAACCATGGCAACACCGTTTATCAAAATCAAAAACCGATGCACTATTTTATGTATCTTAATGTAGTCTACTTTGTGCCAAGTTATATTGAAATCAGATCAAAACTGTAGAAGGAGTAGCGTTTTTAAGAATTACACAGAAAAATTCTATTTTTAGTAACCATGGCAATACCGTTTATCAAAATCAAAAACCGATGCACTATTTTATGTATCTTAGTGTAGTCTACTTGTGTGCCAAGTTATATTGAAATCAGATCAAAACTGTAGGAGGAGTAGTTTTGAAAATAAAAGTTTACAGACAGACAGACAGAAAGACGGACGACGGACACCTTACTATCGCATAAGCTCTTCTGGTCTCTGACCAGTAGAGCTAAAAACCATGCAGAGAACCACCCTGCAAGAACAATAGCTGAAGATGCAACTCTTGAGCATATGAAACCACATCAATGTCAAGTAGAAATACCTACTCTAGATGTTGTCATGAAAGGAAAGGAAGTTGGAGATTTTCTGTTTTTAATGATAAAGAACATAGACTCGAAGCAGAAATACCGATTTCTTAAGAAACTTCAATTGTCTGAACCTGTTGACATTCTAAAACTAAGTCCATGAGGATCCACAACAACATCTGTGTTAATTAATGAAATGCTATATACATGTACTATATTTGGAACGGGTTCGAAATTCGGGTCGGGCTCGGTGTACGTTTTGTTATGTTGTATGTGTATTGAATAAACACATGTTGTTGATAGTCACCAGCTAGCTATTTATTAATCATTCGTCCTGATAGCACGAATTAACAATCTGTACATTGAAACAAGATGTGTATTAACCAGCCATCCACAAGACCTCCGAGGGCAGGGGTATTCTAATTGTCAAGGATTGTCCGGCGAAGGACGGGATTGACAGACCTGGCCTGATGGGGATGAATATCATTTCGAAATGTATGAAGATTTTCCAGAGATAACCATGGTAAAAAAGGTCACTTTGGGTGCTTTAGTGTGGTAACGTTGAACACGGTGACCATTCCTACGAACAAAGAGATTTTAAAACCTTGAAAAGTTTGTTCTCCAGAGGGTAACCAGCTGCCTTCTCGTAAAAGTTTGCTTGAACCGTTAGAGAAAAAAAATACTGCAGAGTCGTCTACTGTAGTTGGTAGATCTTTGGTTCTGGGTGCGGAAGTAGTACCAGTTCGTGTCTTCAATTACACTGATGAACCTTGTCTTACGCAGTTATGATAAGGCTGTCCGTAGGCTTAAAATGTCTTAAAAATATACATTTTATTTTGAGCTAGATTTTAATTTCATTATGTGATCCTTGTTTGAAATTGCAGTCAACCTGGGGTAACAGTTTAATCAGATATTATTATAAAGCGTTTTTGTGATGTCAGATGACTGTGCTGATCACGTGATGGATGTTTTTGATATTCTTAAATGTTGCAAAAAATCGCTTCGGCACAAGTGCAAAACAAAATTATTATGCAAAGTTTGTTACATAGATCAATTCATCGTGATCCCTGGTTAATGAAAAGTGCTGGGGGGAGGTTTAATTTTTTACTTCTTAAGAAAATATTTTAAGATAAATTAAAATTACCAATATAAGAAGGAGTATTTTCCACTCTTTATCGCGATTTATACAAAAAACGGATAAACTACATACGATCCCCCAGCAAAGTTCAGTTAGAAGACATACTTCTCTTTTAGATTCACGCAGAATATCTTCAATTTATCCTTGTCTTTCACTTGTGCCAGTCCAATATAAACACGATTCATAAATTCTAACTTTGTCTACGGAAGTGTAAGGGGAGCGCTTCAAACATAATTGTTTACTATTGCTTGAATATGTGCACATCGGACAAGCAAAAGGAATAGAGATATTAAAATATAAAATGTTAAACATAATAACAGCGATCACGAGCTTAAAAAACAACCCTTACTCTTGAATTAGACACAAGTCCCCATAATGGATCTACATGCGTGTAATAATTATGACACTTTCTCCGTCATTTTAGCTCAAGTATGCACTGACTTGACGTCATATTCTATTATGACGTCATGAATATGACGTCATATCTAGGTAGTTCCGAGAAGTTACTACAGTTTGAACAGGTTGATATTTTACGGGTAGCCTTATCCTAGCTGCGTAATCACAAGGGCACAAGCTTGGTTCAGATAAGGCCATAATAAATAAATTGCTAGATTCTCATCCGAATTTTTTTAAAAATCGAGGCGGGCGGGCGGCTTTTATTTTATATTTTTTATTTTTTCAATTTTGCAGATTTTTTATTGACCTTGTCAATCGGTGTAATTTCAACCAATGACCTTTGTTTACAATATATACGCATGTATAGCAGCAATCACCACCTTTTCAGCTGTCAAAAATCATGACGACTTTCGCGGGGTTTAAAACGAAAGTAGAATGGTAGATGAATACCGATCCCGATCAGAATTAAACCGTAGAAAAACACAAATAAAAAAAATCGAGGTGGGGGTATAAAATCGGGGCGGGCGGGGATGAGAATCTAGGAATATTTTTATTATGGCCTAAGCGCGTTATTTTCAGTGAGTAACAAATGTCATGAGTTAATTGATGTGGAAGTCAATGAGCAACTGGAGGACCTAACAAAGGATCATGTAAAGACTGTTCCTGATATGCTGAAAAACTATGGTCATCTTTTCGCAAAAATAATTCGGACTTGGGCTCCACCAATGTTATCGAGCATGAAATTAATATGGGGAACGCTAAAGCTGTAAAGGAACCCCCTTGTCGTCTCTCATATCATGCCACTGAAACGGTTGACAAGCAAGTGCAGGAAATAAATGAGAGACATAATAATTAAACCCATCATCCATCCAGTCCTTGGGCTGTAGGGGTTGTACTTGTTAAGAAGAAGGATGGTTCGACACGTTTTGTGTTGATTACCGGAAGCTGAACAATTTGACGATTGGAGATGCTTATCCCCTTCCCCGCATAGACGAGTCCCTCGATAGTCTGAAAGGTAACGAATGGTTTTCGACCCTTGACTTCTTTTCCGGTTATTGACAAGTATCTGTCAACCAGAGGACCGTTCAAAAACAAACGGCCCTTGTTACTCTTAAAGGTCTATACCATTTTAAAAAATGCCTTTTGGATTGAAGTGCGCTCCTGCGACATTTCAGAGGCTCATGGAGAAGATAATGACGGGGCTTCAAAGGGAAATCTGTTTGATATATTAATCATTGTCGTACTGTGCAACTATATATTCAAGAAGTGGTGTAAATCAGATGTGAGGTTGAATGACAA